CCCTCCTTCCTGATAGCCTTGATCTCCCACATCACTCTCCTCCTCATAGATACATTCCATCGCAGTCAGTAAATAAAGTCAGAAGAAAATGCAACATACTAATCAAAGACAAAATGCCAATCTTCTACATAAATAATCAAGAGGACTAGCCAAACAAGAGGCTCCAAAGTCAGCCAATCAAAAGCTCCAACAATATAGTATTTTTAATTCACTTCTCACATTTGAGCACATATTGGTCTAGAATAGTTAACTACTCATTAAGACCCAGGTTCCTGGCAATGGCTTTTCCACCAAGGTAACTCTAGCCTAGTCTGATGATCTGCATACTGTGTGCAGTAATAAACTATAAGCCAAGGATACACCAATCTGCACATTTATTTATTAAATATGTACTGCACCTTTCCGCTTATACAGTAAAAATGGCTTACAATAATTTGAATGAAAATATAAAAACTAGAACATGGCATTAAAATCAACTAATACTTTTAAGGATTTGTGAAAGAAATGTGTCCTTGCTGTTTCCTAAATATTCAGAGAGTAAGAGCATGCCATAGCCTGGGAACCTCAGAGAAGGCCCTCTCTTATATATCAAGTGTATACACTTATGGCAGTGGCATATATTCAAAAGTCCCTCTGTTACTGGTCTATGTAATCAGTCAGGTTCATAGTAGGAGAGGTGTTCACTCTTAACCCTAAGCTGTTAAGCAGTCAACATCAACACCTTAAATTGTGCCCAGTAGGCAATGGGCAGAAGTGCAGATTTTTCAATACAGGCAGCACATGATCCCCGAACCTTGCATTTTGCATCCATTTTAATTTCCAGACCCTTTTCAAGTGCATTGCAGTAGTCATGACAGATTGTAACCAAAGCATGGACAATTATCACCAGCAGCTCAGAAAGAGTTATTATTAATGCATCAGTTGTACTTATGTAAACACACTCCTGACCATAACCATCACTTATTAATCTAATTACTGGGGATGAAAAAGGGAGTACTCCCTAACAGTGGACAAGCTCCTTCTATGAGAGCACAGCTCACCTAAATAGACTTTGCTTCAATCCCCAGTTCTAGTTTTCTCCTTATGAACAATATCTCCTTCTTGCCTGGATTTAATTTCAGCTTAGTTTCTCTCATCAAACTCATCATCAAGATCAGACAATGCTCAAAATAGGGATTGCACTGAGCAGTTGTCTCCCAGCATCACCTTCTGGATATGGCCTGACAGAAGGACTGGATTGGACCTTAAGGCCCAACTCTACCAGACAGCTCAGAAGGATACCATGGTCTATGGTATCAAAAGCTGCCAAGAAGTCATTAGGAACTAATAGAATTACATTCTCTCCATCTAGTTTACAGCATAAATCACCCACACACAAAGGTGATCAAAGCTGTCTCAGTATCATATCCTAGATATAACCCTCATGGAAATGGGTTCAAATGTATCTGGAACTGCAAGGGCACATTTCTCAAAAACTGAATATTTAAGATTAGCCTGAAACAAATCGATCTTGTGAGTTGAGAGGGACATTTTAACGATCATTTCTTTTAAGCAGATGGGAACATATTCCATGCAAAAGACGGCATAAATTATATCCCTTATCTTTGTGGCCACCCCTATCCTGAATAGTCTAATCATCTAGGAGGGTCAAGAGTCAAGCAAACAGAGATTGGTCTTGTTTCTCCACATAATCTGTCCATGTCCTCAAAATCCACAAGCTGAAAACAATCTATATGAATAGGATGAGTAGTTGCCCAAATTATCTTTCTATCACTTGCCCTAACATTGGATTCCAAGTTGAAGAAATCTGAGCAACTTTGTTTGCAAAGAATTTTCATCAGCCTATACCAAATCTTGGGTTGCTCTGGTTCTCCTCTTCCAACATCTTGGAGGAGATGCCACATAATCCAGAAAAGCATTAATGCTCTATCCTATGAACTGCAATGGAGCCAGATGCTCTCTTTGTTGTGTTTACTGACATGGAGTAGAATATCAAATGGTCCTTAAAAAGGATCCCTCTACTGTAATTGCTGGAGTTTGGTAATTCTAACAATTATGTGTTCAGTTTTATCCACCTTGAGTGTTCCTTCATTTGTCCTCTCCTACATCAATCCTTCAAGGTAGGTCAGATCATGGAACAGACAACGCAAGGACTACTGAAACTCTAAACTCATAGTATAGGGTATAAAAACAGAATCTTAAAAACCTGCCAAGTATCCCTCTGCTTTCTTTTATACAAAACAGAATCTGGCTGGATTATTCTGAGTTTCCTTTCCACGCTTTCTTCTCTCCCAGGACTGAGTTGTCATTTACTTAACAGATCTTGCATTCCTTCCTCAAGGTTACCTCTGTACTCCTCTACACCCTATCTGTTTCATTGTGCTCAGTTCCCTGATAAACCAAGGTGCTGGATGAGCTCTGCTAAAGAAAAGAAGATGCTTAAAAATGATAATGTCAACTTCCTGTACCCTGAATCAGTTCCACAGATCAGCCAGGGCAGCAAACGTTATTGCAGACAGAGGCAAGAAATTCCCCAAGCACAGTCAACAAACTATCCAGATCTGTCAGGAGCTTGAATCAGACCATTTTAAGCGTTTAGTCCTGCAGTCTAGAACTGACCAAAGATTACCTGCTTAGGATTTGGGGGCTACCACATAATTTATTCCTACCACCATATTCCTGGCATGGTTTTGAAAAGGTGGATCACTAAATCAAGGAAAATGGATATAGATGCTGGAAGGACACTGTATTATTTGTGTGGGCAAAGCCTTATGTTCATCATCCATGTATAGGTTCTAAAGATTGGATCCCAGTCCCTTTGTAAGAGTAAGTAATACATTCAGTCTATTATTTCAGAACAGGCATTTTGGATATCAGTGAGGAAATAAGACAAAACTGGCAAAGTGCCATTCATTACAATTCTAGAAAAACAAGTCTGTGGCACACAGTACTTTATTAACACATACACTTTATGTCCTAAACCATTTGGGTTACTTCATCAAGGAGAGCTATTCAATTAAGATATGAGAATTTAATTTAAATAGCTTACTGATGAAGACCCAAGGTGATTCAAGAGTATATAATGGGTGCATATGAATTAACAGATACATAATTCTTTCATCTGAACAAATATGTGCTGAGCGAGGATTAGCAGAATGCTATTTTCAGAACAGGAGCCAGTTACATAAAATTCTATGCAAAAAGATTTATGTGAAGATACACTGCAACATTTGGGGGGGATGTATATTTAATTTTAAAATATTATAATGTGTTATAATAGTGACAGTGACATGCAGAAGGGTTCAAGAGCTCACTTCAAATCAAAGCAGAGTTTTCAAAGAAAAACTAGGAGAAGAAAGAGACCTAGATTCAAATCCTCACTTTGCTATGATGCTCATTTGGTGACTTTTAAATGAGATAAATTTGGTATATAAATTTGATAAATGAAGCCCAATGAATGAAAAAGCAAGAACTCCAGAAAACAACAAGCCAAGGAAATAGGCTGAGGATAGGACAGTTAAAGAGACAATAATCAGAGAAATGAAAAGCTAAACCAGAAAGAAAATGGAGAGAAGATGCATGTGTTCATAAGCAGAGATAGGCAAAACTTTTGAGTTGGGAACCATTTGGGATTCTGAGAGCAACTGGTGGGAGTTCTTACAAAATGGCTGCCATGGTGAACTGGTCACAAAACATCCATTCAGAGAAGGTGAACTGATTTTTACCATCACAGTGGATTCCTTATTGTGGCTAAAGGCATTCTTGCAACTATGTTTAACAGTAGAAGCTGGTGATCTGCACAATGCCAGCTTCTGTACTAGAAACTTCTTTTTTTGCTTTTATGAATGTAATAGAAAGGGAAGGGAAGGGAAGGGAAGGGAAGGGAAGGGAAGGAAGGAAGGAAGGAAGGAAGGAAGGAAACAAGCCCAAAGTTATCAAAAAGAAAACAAAAGAAACCTAGAAAGAAAGGAACAAAGACATACAAGGCATATATTCATGGATAGCTACATGTATGTGTGTGTGTGTATGAAAATTCTACACAAACATTTCAATAAATGGTAGCTATATTTCATTATAATAATCCATAGCTAACCTATGTTAGTAGGTAATTCATCTGTATGTTGCTAAAAACATCTCCACAAACCATTGAGTAGCTGTTTATCTTTCCAATGCTGAATAGTAAGTCTTTTAGTTGTAAGTAAGGCATAGACAATCCACTTTCTTTGTCCAAATGTCAACTTCCATGCAATAGGAATATAATTCAGAAGAATATGAACATTTGAGATATTAAATCTTGTCTCACAATTGAGTTTATATATGTAATAACTTCCTCCCCAAAAATAACAATTATAAGACACTGGATCAAGCCTTTTCTCTACAAGCACAATGGAGTTCCTAAATGAGATGTTCTGTTTTTTTTTTTTTTTAAGTAAGACATAATCTAAGATCTATTGAAGAATTTGGTATTCAAGTTAACACCTCTCTTCATTGTCTGTGCAAAACAGGAAACTATAATTCTTCATTGCATATCAAATTGAAACATTGCCATTACTGTCAGGAGTGCTGGAGGGTAAATACCGCAAAATCCCATATAATAAAAGGCTTTGTCCTTGTAAGGTGGGAACAGTGAATCGGGATCACCATACAGGCCTTAATCAATAATGGTGCCATGGGTATCTTCACTGAATCCTCCATTGCACCCAAATATGCTCTGCTCACTTAGCCCGTTCAACCTCCTGTTAGGTTGAGACTTTTGATGGTCAGCTCTTGTACTCAGGATCTGTCACAGAGGACACAGAACCTCTACAGATCACCATCAACAATCCTCAGGAATCCATGCAACTTTATTTAGCCTTCCCATTAAATTTTCAATAACCTTGGGCATGGACTAGCTACAGATTCACAATCTGCATATTTATTGGGACTAGATTAGTTGTGTTCAAGAGTCTTTAGTCTAGGGGGGAGCTGAGATTTACTACTGAATCCAGGTATGACGTTTGACAATTAGGACCAATAATAACAAAGAATAAGGCTCATAACACTGCAGTACTATAGGACAATACAGGTAGTCCTTGAGTTATGACCATTAGTTCAGCAACTGTTCAAAATTATGACAGTGCTGAAAAAATGGACTTACAACTGGTCCCTGAAGTTACAGCCACTGCAGCACCCCCGTGGTCATGTGATCATGATCTGGGCCCTTGGCAACCCATTTGCACTTACAACTGGTAGCCGAGCACCCCACGATCACGTGATCGCCATTTGCAACCTTCCCTGCCGGCTTCCCACAAGCAAAGTCAATGGGGAAACTGGCAGGGGAGGTTGCAAGTCACTCCGGTAAATCTCCCCCACCCACCCTGTCCTTTCTTTCCTCGCATGCCTGCACCACACCCTCCTTCCCCCCTTCGCTCATACACATGCATTGCGCCCTCCTTCCCCTTTCCTTGCACGCACCTGTTCCCTCTTTTCCCCTTCGCTCACTTGCATGTACATGCCTTCCTTCCCTCCTTCATTTGCTCAAGGACTCTCCGGGGGCGCTTCTGGCACACACTCTGCAGCTCACGTTGGAAACTACTAGCCATTCATGAGGTTTTAGCCTTCCTCCTGCAAAGCCCCAGAGCCGCAGCGCTGTGTGAAGGGGGTGTGGTGCACGTGTACAAGCGAGTAAAGGGAAAAGGAGGGCGTAGTCTGTGTGCAAGCGAAGGAGGGCACTGGTGTGTGCGAGCAAGTAAAGATATTTATGAAGATAAAATGAAGACAGATATCCATATTAGTCTCTTTGAGCTCTTAGAGAAAAGACAGGAGGTAAATCTAATAAATACATTTAAAATAAATATGTACCATCTACTAAAACAGTTGTTCAATTTTGAGATGTTTAAAGTGTTGCTGGATTAGGAGCAAGGGACACCCAGGGACACCCAGTTCTAATCCTCCCTAAGGCATGAAAGCTGGCTGGGTAACTTTGGTCTAGTCACTCTTTCTCAGCCCTAGGCTGGGAAGTCTAAAAACATCTACCTACCAATCTGCACTAGACCAGCATGGTAGATTA